GGGACTCCAGGATCATGACCTGAGCCGAAGGCAGTCGCTTAACCAACTGATCCACCCAGGCGCCCGAAAAGCCATGAATTCTATGTGCAGTATTCCCCTAGCGCTGGAGTTCTGCTGTTCTTATTGATCGGTAAACTTGGTCTTGGCGGGCTGTTTTTGCTTATCTTCTGGGGGAGGGGCCTGTTGTAGTGGTTCTCAAATGTCTTTGTGGGAGGCGGAATTGCCCCGCCCTTGCTGGGCTCCTGGCTAAGTAATCTGCTTGAGTTTGCTCTGGGGAACTTTTGTTCCCTGCAAGGTTTCGGTACAGCTTTGGAGGATGAGATTGAAAATGGCGGCCTCCCAGTCTCTGCCCCGGAGGAGCCGAGAGCTCGGGCCCCACTCCTCAGTGAGCCCCCAGAGAAAAGCCATCATCACTCCCGGCTCCCCAGTCTCCGGCCGCACTCCGTGCTCACCCGGCCTGTGACCAAGCGTTTCTATCTCTGGCACCCTACCCCTTTTGGATTCTCCAGACCTAGCAAATTTCTGCGGTGTGCTCCTGCGCCGCTCCTCCCAGGGGGAGGAAGGGCTGTCTCCCTGTATCTGCTGCTTTTTGGGTCCCTGCTGGAGGAGCATTGGCCCGACTGTGCTACGGATTTCCGTTTATGGCAAACCCAAGCTTAAAGCCCACTCCTCAGCTCCGTCTTTGTAACCAGTTTCATGCTCTGATACCTGGGAGTTCTGCCACACTCAGGTACCCCCGTCTTTCTGTGACGCAGAGGGCCCTGAGACCACAGTGCCCCAGCGAGTGTTTCACCCCCGCTTAGCCACTGGAGCGATGTCTCTTACCCCAGAGCCAACTTCTAAAATTTCTGATTTTGTGCTCGGCTGCTCTATCACTTGACAGTAGCGGTTTATGGAGGCCCCCTCCCCCACCCTCTGTCTTCCCAAATATCTCCTCGGTAGCACATATACCAGATATCGCCTTGGATTCACTTCTCTGAACGTCCTATCTTCCAGAAAGTGGTTGCATTTCTGTTTAAGAGTTCCTGCTATTCTTTTCTTCAATTTCCTGTTGAGTTTGTAGGTGTTTAGAATGGTTTGATTCCTATCTAGCTGAATTCCTGGGACTAGACGAAATTTAGGTCTCCTACTCCTCTGCCATCTTGCTCCTCCTGAAACCTACATTTTTGATATAACTGTTCTGTTGGTGGAGAAAATGGAAATTTATTTCATGGTCGTTGTGAATTTGTCATTATTCTTATGGAGCAACTACTTCTAATTTTTGTTTTAAACCTTACTCTACATATCCTTTAACATGTTCTGATAGAAGTTCGGAAATTACCAAAAATAGTACAAATTGCTTAGCATTGTTGTGAGAAATAAATTAAATTAGAGGTAGACATAGTTTGTATAAAGTTTAATACAAAATACATAAAGTATTATTGTCCTTTTTTCTAACTAGGAAACTGAAGTTTGGTTGTGATTCTTCCTGTGTTTATTGGGGCTTGCCACATGCTCCATGGAACATCCCCGTCTAATAACTGTCACTCGTAGCACAACAGATCTTAATGATAAGTACTAGAAGAGTTGTTTGTACCCCAGCACGGACTAGCTGGAAGGCTTCTCTTATCCTGGGCTGTATTCAGAGTTGGCAGCCTTATAGATTGTGAATGCTGAACCTAGAAATACTGAATAATGACAAATGTTGCTTTTAGAGTTCACAATATTTAAATGTATATGCTATTGAGCTGCCTGAACTTCTATTAAAACACAGTTCTTATAATTTCTATCACCAGGTAACCTTGGACGGGTAGACCAGGTCTCTGAATTTGAGTATGACTTATTCATTAGGCCGGATACCTGTAATCCACGCTTCCGAGTCTGGTTCAACTTTACTGTTGAAAACGTGAAAGAATCACAGGTGAGGAAATATTGAGGGAAATATTGGATATCTTCAGTGTGGTTTGGTAAGAATATTATGCTTTTGTTTTACTTTAGAAATCTCAGTATAATGACCAGATTAGGAATATATTCTGGTATATCTCTAGCAATGATATAGTTCTAAGAGATATACAGAAATATGTATAATTTGCTGGCTTTTGTTATCTGGTGGTCATTAAATAATACAAATAGATTATCTGAGAACAGAAAGTGTTCTTTACTGATTGAAGAATTAGTATAATGTGCTGGGTTTCCTTGAGGAACCATTGAAAGTGACTTACTATTTTTATTATAGAGTGTGTTCTCTATATTACTTTTCTTTATAAAGATCTGTGAGGGATATTTCTCACAGGCCTCAGTTTCAGAAAAAGCTTTTCTTCTTTTGTACAAGAAGGTGTTTATATCTTAAAAATAATGATTCTTGTAACTCATCCTATTTCCCCCCTTTTTTTTTAATCTGTTGGGAAACTCAGATCCAGTTTTACAGCACTCGTTAAATTTTTTGGCTTATATTTCTGTGTACTAATTTTTCTTTCATTCTGATCATATTAATCTGTCTGTAACCACAATTTCTTTATCTATATTTTCAAACAACGTATGTTTTTTTATAATCCTGTTCAAATATTTTGAGTGAGAGAGTATTGATGAAAATAGAACTAAATGTATATGCCTTAATAAACATCTAATCCTAAGAAATCATTTATCATTCTGTTTTATTAAGACAGCTAGTCATGGAAAAGTGCACAAACTTTGTACATATAGTGATATGACTTTTTTAAGCAGATGAAAGCGTAGGCTTATAACTGAATATTTATCTGCCTTCTTCCAACAGGTCATCTTTTTCTAGTATACTTGGGAGAAAGGGAGGGTTGGTTTAATTTTTCTCTCCCAAGTCAGTCCATTCTGTTTCCTCTTTCAATTGGTTGCTTACTTCTCGCCATTTTTCTCAACTTCAATTAGATTCATTTTTCTGGCAGTGGTCAGTGTCTGGAATTTAGGGATTAGATTAACTCCTGTTACTGGCATGCTGCCTTCAGCAGGAGAGGGGTGCAAGGAAGAGTCACTCCAATTTACTGTCCATTCTCTTAATTCTCTACACCACCACTGGCACATGACTGTTTGTAATGACACAGGTGTATGTAATGTTTAATGAAGTTTAAGGGTTAACTGGAATGAATTAAATAGATGGGAGAACTCTATATTGTTGGCTAAACATGATTTGGGACATAACTTTAGTTCTTAGCTTTGCTCCTTAGTTTTACTTACACTCCCGTGAGAGAATTCCTTTTTCAGCTTTTCCCAGTAAGAGTAACAATATTCTCCCCTTCACCCACCTTAGGAAAACCTACACTTTCCCTAACGAGTGGTTCATCTGACAATAGGAGTATCCTCTTGTTCCAATAAGACAGTTAGTAATTATCAAAATGCATTTTCCAAGTCTATGTTACGGAGTCTTAAGAGTATAACTCACAGCAGGAGACTTTAGCCACATCTACAAGACTGAGTCTTGGCACTCCAACTTTGGGTCCCCTATCAAGCTCTCTCTGCTACCATGAGATAGACATACAACCACTTATTCTTCTATTGGTGTCTCCTGTCAGTAACTTACGGTTGTAACATACACCACTGAAAAACAAATGATAATTCTGAAGCAATATAGTCCATTCATATGAAGGAAGGGAAACATTTTCTTAAAAGCAGTATAATCTGCCAGGATTTCTAATTTCCCAAAGGGGTTTACTGTTTTCCTCTTTATGCACAGCACATGCACATCCTTCAGCTTGCATATTGCATCCAGAAATAGACTAAATCCTAAGAAATGAGACCTATTACTTTTCAAACAATAGAATCCTCTATCCTAATCATATCTTTGCTAAATAGAGAGTTAGTTAAAGCTCTAAAATTATTATGGTTGTTTAACTTTGGGCCACATTAAATTCTTAGCCCAGTTTTTCTTGCACTTTAGTCTCTGTACAAATAATATTCTTACATAGCTACTCTGGTTAGGAGGAACAGTGAGGAGTGGTTTGACTAGACAGGGAAAATGTGTTTCTTTTTGGGGGGGGGGCAGGGACAGAGATAGAGGGAGAGAAAGAATCTTAAGCATGCTCCATGCCCAGAATGAAGTCCAACACAGGGCTCGATCTCACAACCCTGAGATCCTGACCTGAGCTGAAATCAAGAGCCCATTGCTTAACCCACTGAGTCACCCAGGTACCTAGGAAAATGTATTTCTTGTTATACTATGTGAGATAGTTTTTTGGACAGGTTACTCATAAATTTCAGTTTCTTATTCTTTGCTCTTCTAGTTGATGACAGGTATGTTCTTTTTGTTGTTTAAAATGTCTCTTCCAGAGTGTTACAATTTTTATACTATATGCTAAAGTCATACAGCCTCTTTTGCAGTCTTGCCTCTCAGTTAAGGAAGTAACATGAATGTGTTCCTAGGGGTTATTCTAATAAGAGAGTTGGTGTTGTTTCTATGAATGCTTATTTTTAAAGTTGGAGGAACCAATATTTACTCTGACTCTCTGGGTTTCTCTCTTCATATCCAGTGCTATTCTACTGTTGTTACAATTAGAAATCATGAACATGTTTATCTGGTTTCCTGGAGTGTGATGCTTTATCAGCCTCTTTCTTTGGGCCATTGCTTCATCAACTGTAATCACATAATATAGTTATGGAAATCTGTCTCAAGATGGCATAAAGATCTGCTAGAAAGATACAATATATATCTCTCACCCACAGGATATTTGTTTTCATGGTTGTCTACATGAAAGAGAATGGTTTTACTATTAAGTTTGACTTGTAAGGTCTGTTTTTATAATGTCTCTTCCTATCATCTTTTCCATCTCTCTAATTTCCGTTAAAATGAGACCTTCATGAATGTAATCTAGTCAGGAACCTTATTTAGGGTTTAGTGCTAGGAAGCAAAAGAAATATTAGTCATCAAAGTCTGAGTCCATTAAATGAATGTTAAAAATTACAGCATCAAATATACCATATAAACAGGTCTAGCTCTTTGGTTATTTCCCTTGACATTTGTAAGAAGTGATGAAACTTGGAATGTATGGTGCTGTATTGTAGGATTGATATATAAACCCCCAAAAGTGGTTGCCAAATAGTGTGTTTGCAGGAGTCTATGTAAACTAACATCAAGATATTTTTATTAGAAAGTAAGTTTCTCTCTGAAAGACTTGTAATAAATATTCTTATGTGGAAATTTATTATTGATGCAGCAAAATACTTGTGTGATGTGAAAACAAATCTTTCTGTTTAAATACTCATGACAAAACTTCAGCCAATAAGAGTGGGAAAATGATATGTCTTGACTTTTAAACTCTGTTTTCTTTCCTTTATATTGTTTTTATCTCTTTGAATTAATTTTTCCTTTTTTTGATTCGCTGATGCTCAATGTAGTAAATTTTGAAAATATAGACAATTATAATAGAGAAAAAGCACACACAAAATCATACTATCTAGAAACAAAAATTAACTTTTTGGCATATTTACTTCTAGGCTTTTTATTTCCTACTTTATTTTTTGGAGCATAATTAAATTTTTTACCATATACAAATTTTTATGTTTTGCTTTTAAATAAAATAAATAGTATCACAAGCAATTTTCTATCAATAAAAACTTCATAAACATGATTGTATATTTATACTATTGGACCATTTCCTTTCTCTTGGGCATAAAGATTATTTTCCATTATCTGTTGTTATAAATAACACTGTAATGAATATCTTCATGTATGAAATGTTACCCATATTTCATTTTCCTTACTTAGGATAAATTCCTAGGAGGGGAACTGATAGATAAATGATATGAATATTTTTGTACTCTTCATACATATTCTATATTAATTTATTCATGATTGTTCTTCAGTTATATACAAAATCTTATTGGCAAAAACATGGATGGATCTAGAGGGTATAATGGTAAGTGTAATAAGTCAGTCAAGGGAACAAAAATACCATATGATTTCACCTATATGTGGAATTTAAGAAGAAAAAACAAATGAAAAAAGAACAAAAAGAGAAAAATTTTCACGTATCACAGAAACATCATCAACAAAGAAACTAAGATACCTAAGACATCAAAGAGGGCCCAAACAATTAGGGAGGATATATTTTTGTGTTTGTTTTTTAGTAGAAAGGAGGGGTGAGAGGTGGAGGGAGAGGGAGAGTAAGAATCAAGTAGGCTTCATGCCCAACACAGAGCTCAATGCAGGGCTTGGTTTCACAACCTTGAGATAATGGTGTGAGCCAAAATCAAGAGTCAGATGCTTAACTGACTGAGCCACCCAGGCACCTCATGGAGGATATACTTTTATTCAACAAATATTTAATGACTACCTCTTTGTTCTAGACATAGTTGTAACACTTGGAATATAGTAATCAAGTGAGAAAAAAGATAAGAGTACTTATGGGGTTTCCGTTCTAGGTGTATCATTGGGTCAAAGAGAAGGACAAAAGATAGACATAACAAATAAGGAAATAGTATATTAGAAAGTGATAATTTTAAAAAAAAAAGTAGAATAGGTTAGGAGGGATATGTAGAGGAGAACAAAATGAATAATTAAAGTAGGCCTCTTTGAGAAGGTAACATTTGAGCAAAGACAAAGGAAGTAAGAAAATATGCTTTACAAATACCTGGTAGAAGGGCATTCTTACAAGTTGGAATAGCTATTGCCCTAAGCCAGTGTCCTATTGGAATCATATCCGGTTCATTTGAGGTATAGCAAAGAAACCAGCATGATTAGAGCTGTGTGAACAAGGCAGAAAATAGTAGAAAATGTGGTCAAAGAAGTATGTATATGGTAGGGTAGCAGTGGGTGGGTTGAAGTGATAATCTTGTAGGATCCGGTGGAGCAGAGTTTAACAGAGTAGTTACATGATATGACTGATATCATAAAATTATTGATGTATCCCTGTTAAAAGTAGACATTAAAGACAGAGTGGCCCAAGGATAGAAACA